TAACACAAAGAAACAAGAAAAAATGGTTTTAAAAAATAAAAAAACGTCTTTGTCAAAACAACGGTTTTAAGAACAACTTTGCTGTTTTTGCAGATCTTTTTTTTCTGTAATTTTTAAAACTAAAATTTTCAAAATTTCTTTACAGATTTTATATCTTCTAATCCCATTTTTAAAATTTCCATTTTTAGATTGCTTTCTTTTCTTTTATTGCGTTTTACAGATCAAAGTCTTTGCTTTCCTCTGGGGCGACGAGCGAGGAATTATTTCTATTAGTCTGTATGAACGATAAGAACAATATTTGTAAAACTCAATCAGAGAAATTGAAAAAATGAAGTAATAAAAATTGTTTTAATTTGAAATAAATATATATAAGAAAACAGCAAAGTTACTATGAAGTCCTGGTTTGGTATTCAGTTTTTTTAATTCCTGGATTGAGTGTTTTTTTTTTTGTTTAGTTAAATTTTCTCAAATTTTGTTTTTTCATTTATTTTTTATTGTTTTTTTAAATTAAGTTTTTTGAATTGCAATCTTTTCAAATACCGTTTTTAAAATCCTATTGTCTTCACTCGAGCCCAATCCAAACTATTTATAGAATACATAATATATGTGAATATTTAGCTTTTTTAAAACTGTGGCTAGAAGATTTGTCTGTTTTTTTTTAAAGATTTTAGCATTGGTAGCGCCTGAAAAACATCGAATTAAATCAGTTGATTTGACCACTACTACCACCGAAAAACTAAAAATAACATCTCTATAGCTCATTATCACACTACAGCCTGAACCAGAACTTTCATTATGACAGTTTAGAAAGTTTTAATTGAGAGTTTAATTCATTTCTGTAGGTTTTTTAAGCCTCGGTCCTTTCCCCAGTCTTCATGCTAAGTAAGCTAACGGTAACCGCTGTGGTGTGAGTCACTACAGTTATAAATAAATGAGTTTTACTGTTTTTTGTTTTGTTTTTTTATCCTTAAAGAGGAGAAATGTTTCTTTTTTGTTTTTCTCACAGGACAGAACCGCTTATTTTCTGTTATTTATACGGCTGAAAGTCTTTACTACTGATAGGATGTTCAATTAGCCTGCTACGCTAAGACCATTAACCGTTCTATGCTAGGATAAAAACACCTAATCTGATCCATTCTCTGAGCTCATTTGGTCTTTCTAATCCGTAAACAATACACACAGCTTAACCGTGTTAATTGGCGATACCTTTAAAAGGAGTCAGAGCGATGTTAAATGCTTTTTTTTTATCATTGCTGCAAATGCAGCACAATTAGCCAGATAAATGTCATCTTTTCCTCTATTAGCGGTATTAATGCTAGCTACTGAACTCCTACGTTTGTCCTTTTGTACCTTGTTTTTAAAAATCACTCTCTTGCAAACGACTTTAATAGAACAAAGTCCTTCCTGGACGTAATGTATGGCAGTTTGTGGCTCTTTTCAGAGCATATTCCTCACATTTATACGAAGTGATTTTATCAGTAATGCTACTTTCAGACCACAAAGGAAGCAGCAGGAGGAAGCTGTTAAAGACCTCCGATTTAGAAGTAATAAACTGTTTCAGAGGAGTGATCATAGCGCTCTGCATCAGCAGCACTGTGTCTGACTCCCTGCCAGCTCCCAGATCAGCTTCTCTCATTGGTTGATGTGTTGAGCAGCAAAAGCTAAATTTTGCCCACTCCAGCAGCTGCTGCTTTTGCAGCGCATCAGATGCTCAGAAGCTCATGAGGAGCTGCTCAAAACGTGCTGAATGACCTTTTACTGCACCTTGATGTGCGTCAGCCATTGATTTTGCCTGTAGACCAGCTGCTTCTGCAGCCTCTGCAGCGTGCGGTCTGAACGTAGCATTAGAGCCTCTGTGGGATGGAGGAGTGATTATTATCGGATGTCATGGTGACATGCGAAGGCTGATTACGCCCAATGTTTGGTCTGGGTTTCTGTTTTAATGTGAAAATGATCAATCTAAAAAAACAACACATAAAGCAGAATAAATAACAACATGAGGTCTTGCATGCGAAAAAGCAGCAAGATTCAGAAAAGGAAGATTCAGAAAAGGAACAAAGGCCTTGATAATGTGCTGTCAGTCAGTTCATACTATGGAATGTTTTCATACTTCTTTGTGTACCTAGGTATTTAATAGTGTTCTCTATATAGATTCATTATATTTTCCTGCAGTCATAAAACATTACAGAAAAGTTGAAGCATCACACAAATACACAGACATTTAACACAACAACAGGGCATTCACTACATATATTTCTTTTTTAAAAACCAGTAGGCAAAGTAGCCCATCCCTCCCAATGAGCCCATGAGAAACGAAGCCCCGAAGAAAGATGGCGGCTTCTTTTTTACCATTCGGAAGGCGTTGGGTAGGACCGCTGACAGGAGAGTCGTGTGGATGTCGCCCAAGACCTTTCGAAAAGCGTAGCGTTTTTGCACGCGCACGAAGAAGGACTGCAGGTTGGGCCGGCTGCCGTCCTCCCAGTATTTCCTAGAAAGTCCCAAGAACTTGAGCCTGTGCAACAAGGCTCCAAGGCAGATATCAGCTAGTGTAAATTCAGGTCCACAAAGCCACAGCTCGCACTTTTGACCTGTGAGTCAAAACGAGTCAGAATGACATCAAGAGAATAGTTTCTATTTGTTTTTTTTAGATAAAACTTGAAAACATACCTTGATACTCTAGTTTTCTTTTCTCAAGCTCCGCCTCCACCTGGTCCAGAACCATGGCTAGCTCCCCCAGGATCTTCTTCAAGTAGTTCACATTATCATGGTCTAAGATTTTTGCCTGAAAACAGAAGCTTGTTTGTGAGTCTTGGAAATTGTGAGAAGGGCAGGGGCGGATTTAGGAAATTTGGGGCCCTAAGCAAAGACAGGCACAACACATAAAACAGACCCATTATACAGACAGAGAATTTTTTATAGAAAAGACAT